ACCTCAATAAAGCCAGTTGTGTTACCTGTACCTTTGACAGAAAACAAAATGACCCTAAACTTGAATGATTCCTGTATGTGGACTCAGTGGTGATAATTAATGTCCTTCACTCAATATTCTTGGCTCTCTACTTTCCAGGGCACAGTAGGATTTTACTTAGGGCTGGGTGAGGCCAAGTGACTAGTTCTAGCCAACAAGTTACAGGCAGAATCAAGACTGGGGCTTGGTGTGGCATTCAGGCTAAGCCTTTAATTGGTGTGAGACCCTCCAAGCGCGCTCTGCACCATGGCAACCAGCTACACTCCAGATGGCTGTTCAATCAGCCTGTGTCCTGGTGTGAGGATGAAGCAGAGCAAACACCACAGGGATTTTGGCAAACTTTCTGCAGAGGGGCAGCTAGTAAACATTTTAGGCTTTGTGAGCCAGATGGTCCCCATCACAACAACTCAACTCTGCTGTTGTAGCACAAAAACCGTCATTTATAACACACAAATGGGCATGGCTGTGTTCCAATAAAACTTTACAAGAACAGGCAAAGACAGCTCTGGCCCACAAGTCAAAGTTTGCAGACTCCCGGGTTAATTACAGAAATTTGGGTGGTACTTGTCTCTACAGCATAACCAATCTAGCTTGACTGATATAGGTTCCGGATCTTTAAGGGTTCCTTTGGACTTAAACAAAAAAAAGTGTCTTAAGCTCACCTTAATTTTGACAGTTAATTCCTCATTTCCAGAAAGAGCATTTTCATCTGTCAATGATATTAACCTTATCTTATCCAAAGCATCAGAAGCATTTGAAATCAGTTCTCTCAGGAAAATCTAAATGGAAGCCAAATATAACAGACTACATTAGACTCAAGATACATAAGACATTGAATTTAATGTAAAATCCATTTTATTTCTCCTCTGCACTTTGGGAAACCACTCATGAATACGACTTCTTAGGCTATAAGGGTGGCTTTATTATTGGTTATAGTAGGTTATGGCTGCTTGCTCAAAAGACTGGACTGTAATAGCCATAAAGGATACCTAAACTAGTTAAAAGTAGCAACACTGTCCTCTCACCCCGGGATCCTCAGGTATGCAATATGTGAAGCTTAGTCTGACCACTTTTGAGACTCAATGATTTGGCAGGTCATACTGGGAGGGGTAAAGAAAAAGGGAAAATGTCTAACACCACCCCCCTGGGTAGCTAGTAGTAGTTTTTGGTATACACTGGGTATATTTAAATCTTGCTAACAACTTAAGTGAAATTACAATGTTACTAAAATTTACTATGAAAGTAAACAAAGGTGCCACCATACAGAGATGAAACAACCTAACCACATGTTGCTTACCTCTTTATTTTTATATAGTGAGTTGATGATAAGTTTCATCATCCTGTTAACCTCCGCTTGGAAGGCAAACTTTTCAGATTTCTCTCTAAGTTCTCTTATTTGTGATGCATTTAATCCATCCAACTGAATAGCTTCTTCCTCTCTAAGAAAATCAGGTAGATAAGCAAACATTGCACTGCTTAATTGGCAGTATTTAAAATTGCCAGAAAAACAAACCTAACTTTTGCTTTATATTCATTTATACTCCGTAGTAAGGATCTCAAATTTAAGTCCTAAGAAACCAAATTTTAAAACTGCTCAAACAGCAGAAATCCCACTTTAAAAAATTACTAAATATGCACATTTAAGGAATATACAAAACCAACTGAAAGTCTTTTCTAAAGTCTTAGGAGGTTTATGATGCTAGTATTCTGCAATATGGTTATCCAAACAGTTTTTTGAATTCATTCAATCTTCATAATTCATTCATGAGCACGTTAGGGAGTTAAGAGACAATTACGCACATAACTGGCCACCTCTAACATTTTCTGACCATTTTTGGGGGGCATTTAAGCAAGGGGTGGGGAAGATGGAGGTCACAATTTATCTGGACTCTTGGGGAGGATACACAATAGAAGCTGCTGCAACCCACAGTATTCACAGGGCTTATCTGTATTGCTTTAAATGAACACAAACCTCTGGACTACTTCATCATCTGTCCTGGAGCCTTCTCTACTTTTACCCAGATCCTCTTCTACTGTACCATCCACATCGACTTCATCGTCAGCTCTGACTGACCCTGAAGAAAGACGCAACACCAGAAAACTCTTAAACACAGTTTGCAGACTTATCCGAAGGAACTATGTCCAAACAGGGCAAGTATAGGAGTTGCAAAACTGAGCTAGTAAATACGGCGAGATGGAGGGAAGAACGGACCTGCTGGTTTAAATATCCAATGTAAATCCAAGTCAGCAGATTCCTTATTTAAGTTCAGATGCTAAGGTCCTCCAGAAGATTATGAAATACCAAGGCAGTTGCCGCCTCTAAAGAGTTACCTTCCGATCCTTTATAAATAACGTTTAGCAGACTGATGCCAGGCCCCTTCTACACCCACACGTGTTGCGCGCAGGCCAAGGCAAGGCCTCCAAACTGACCAAGCCCAAACTTGGGCCTTCTTTGATCACAGGTCAGAATACAAATACGATTTGTACAACCTTTGGCGAGGGGAACGGAAATTGGGCCCGTGGGCTGGAGAAGGGGAAGAGAAGTTAAGGACGGAGCTCGAGCAAAACTAAATCAAACAAGCAGACACTGCCATTCCGCTGGCCCAAGGCCCACGCTCGGAAGACCGGCATCTGGGAAAAGAACCGCTTTGCTCGCGAGATGTCGGAAAGCGGGGGGCGGGGGTCCTCAAACTCCGGTGGCCAAAGGTTGCGGCGGCTGGCAAAGTCCTCCGGGAGGGTCACCCGCAAGGCTCCCGAGGGGAGCCTTGACAAGCCCCATCCGAGGTGGCTCTCATCTCCGGGCGCGGTACTATTAGAGCTGCAGGAAATTCAAATGTTTCCTCTATTCCCTCCAGAGGAAAAGGGTATAGGTAGTCCCCTAAGACTCTTTCGAGGAAAGGGCATGGCTTCCTTAGCTCACCGCACGCGCTGGTGTCCCCCTCCCCGGCTCAACGCCCCCAGAACCTTCGAGAAGCGGTCGCGCTTGAAAAGGGGGGTCGTCCACTCCTCCAGGATCACTCACCGAAGGTCAGCAGGACGCAGCAGAGGCCCAGCACCCACAGGGCCCTCATGGCGCGCGGCCGGTGAGTCTCAAGTCCCTTTTGATCGCAGGAGCCGCCTCCACCCCCCACCCCTGGGCTCGGAAGCTCACACCTCAAGCCGCGCGGTCCGCCCACTACAGCTCAAGCAGGTCGGGCCGCTTTTCACCCCCACTTCTCGTGGGCGGGGGACGGGAAACACAAACCCACCAATCGTGCCGCACCACGCACCCACTGTACCCAATGGAGACTCGTGGGGGGGATCGCAGTCCACCAATCGGAGCTGTCCAGGTGCGGAGCCCGTTGCCCGAAGCGTGGCTCCGTCCGATTGGTCATGCGCAGCAGCTTTTCTCCAATCATAAGGCTCCGCGGGCCCCTCACTCGCCGGACCGCCTCTTTGCCTGGGAAGCCTAGGCCACTCAGGGAAACTGTCCAATGAACGTACGCGCAGAACACGTTCATTCTTTTCCAGAGGTCTCGACAAAATACTTCCGGATCCCAGAGCGCGTTTATTCCGTGACCAAGGGAAACGGTAGCTATGGTAACGCATTCTTCACCCTTTCCCTTCTACTCCTTAGGGTCACGTTGGGAGTGATTCTAGTTAGCCTTTCGCAGTCATTTCCTACTTAGCCGTGCCTCTTGGAAGAGAGAAACGCGCGAGAGGTTGAAAATCTCTCAGAGCGCTTTTGGATGAGGTGGTGAGAAACTACCGTTCCCGGCATGCAGAGTACCCGGGGTCACACTATTGGATGCTGGGAAGCGTAGTCTTTAGCCTTGCCAGTGGCTGGGGGGTTTGGCCCTTTCTTTCGTATTTTCCCAGCGCGTGTTTGAGAGAAGTCTGTCCTTCGTGTTTTAGAATTTACACCTTGTTCTGATCGTAGGAGAGATCTGTGCCTACTCCAGGGCTTTCCAGTGTACACAGCTTGTATCAACAGGCCTGGGAAGCGGGTTGCCTGGCCTTGGCCACCCCGGGTTGTAGGGGTCGGCCTCTGATCTGGGCTCCACCTTTGGCTCCTGAACACGCATTTCCGAATTTGGCTTTTTACGTCGCACTAGGACAACCTGGCTGCTCCCCTCCTCTGTTGCGCGTCCCGAGGCTGAAACCATCAGGCTACCCTAATTTGGTTTCCAGTAGAGGGTGGTGGGCTTTCTGTTTTGGTCCCCTTGCGGGACATCACGAGCAACTTCTACTCCCCCATGAAGTACAAAGGCTCTGACCAGGCGTCCATAGAGCTCCTGTTGTGAGTCAGGTGGAAAACGTGGGGTAAAGTCCGGCCCAGCACAAAAAAGGAAACTCTTAGTTTAACGAGCGCAAGAGGATACACCTGCAGATGTTTGAAAGCAAAACCTGCAGCGCGATTGCAGCTTTGTAGCAGTAGAAATACTCTGCCTGCTGTTCAGGAAGACACAAGAAACCCCAGGTGTCTTTCCTGGGAGGGAAGTACCTCACACCTCGCTTGTGCCTTTGGAAATGTTTTCTAAGTCCTTGTTTCTGAGGGTCTTTATGTAACCCCACTCCAACCAGAGCCCCCATCTCCAACATATACACCCCCTTCCTTATCGCTTCCTCCAGCATAATTATTTTCAGATCATCATCCGAATTCCTGAATACAAGCTTTTCAGTGACAGTCCGTCAGAGCTTTTCAACTTCCCTTATTTAGGGCTGCCGATCTTGATTCTGTGGTTGGCCTTTGCACACAGTGGTGGTGCCTAATTTACATCTGCCGAATTTACCTATGCTTGTTATTAGTAAGCAAAGGGTAGCTTACAACCATGCTTTGTGTTTCTGAGCTTGCAATTTAAGACTGTACTACAGGTGTGCATTACTTCAGAAGTCTCAATCACATTTTTGTATGTTTTAACTCGTTTCTTTTTTGTTTTTAGGAAAAGATGAATTCCTTCTCTTTTTTGTATTTCACAGCTCAACTTTCTCACCATTGTCTCTGGTTCTGAACAAGTGAGCTAACGGTTCTGAAATTGCAAATATCATCATAACCGGTCAGTGGTGGGTAATTCATGCTGCACCTGGAGGGAACCGAGAATGAGATATGCCCTACAAGATAGAGTGGCTGCTTGTGGGTAGACGTTTTTGCAGATAATGGTGGGATTCATAAAACACAAGACAGTATGCTGGCAGAAGGTGGCTGGCCATCTTTTGACTCAGCTCTGTCTCTTTAAGACAGAGCCTTGGATTGAGCACCTTTTCTAGGGTTCCCAGCCTTGCTTTTCTCCAGCATTTTCTTCACCCCTTTTGACTGTTAACCCATTTGTAAGCCCATTTCCATCTTAGCCTTGCTCCCCCAGAACTGATAGCCCAGGAGGCTATTAAGCTTCCCATCTTCAGATCTGGCTCCCTTGCTTCCTAATTTTAGTTTTTCGCTTTCACACTATATATTTGCATGGACATTACTAGATATAGCTGTGTTTTCCGGTGTTGTGATTAAGCTTTTTTTTGAACATAGTTAATGCCACTAGATCATACTCTTATCTTGTAGTTAAACTTGGAAGGTGAAACCATTTGAAAAAAGAGGTGCAGATATGGTGCAATGAATGGCTCTCGTGGTGGGCAGGTATAGCCCAGCAGGGGGTAGTCGGAGAGAATGCAGACTGGGGAGACCGAGGCAGGACAGCAGTTGGTATCAGGGAGCACTAAGGAATGGGCCACACACCGAGGTAAATTGGTTGATTGCTTGATTGGTTCATACATTACTTCACTCACTGAGCGTTTGTAGGCGATCTGGTATGTACTGGGTATAATATTACACTAGGTGCAGAGGTGAACAAAGGTCGCTATTAGGGGTTTTCAAAAAAAAATTAATAGAAATATGTTATAAAAAAAAAACTGTGTGTGGATTTAGAAATTTTTTGCACTAAAACAGAACCAACCTGTACAAATATTAACCGTGCAGTTGCATCATAAGTGCAAGTATCTTATATAAACAGAAGATAGAAAAGAATGACTGTGAACGAGTATCAGAGAACTTTTTGAGGTCATGGAAATTCTCTTGGGCTTAGTATGGGGTGGTGGTTAAAACTCATCAAACTGTGCACTTAAGGGTGAGTTTCGTTTTATGTAAATTCTACATTGTCATTCTAAACAATAAAACATTAAAACTCATTTCAGTAAGTATTAGAAACCAGATAGATATTTCCACTGCTGTCCATATTGTTTCACATTGTTGAGGAGTATCTAATAAGACCAGAAAATGAAGTCATCGGCATAAATTTTAGAAAAGTTGAGGTCCTTTGTTTTGAAATTCCTTCTTTCTGGTGATATGATTATGGACCGCAGAAACCCTAGTTTGTTCATTTGTTTGTTTTTACAATTTTTGCCATAGGGTCCATGCACTCACTGTAGAAAGACAGAGAGAAAAAGAAGGGAGAAAGTGAGAAATCATCCCCAGGAGGGTTGGCCATGCCGTAACTCTCTTCTCCATTCTTCTTTCAGGATTGTGAGCCCACATACACTCAGGCCTGAAGTATTTTTGAAGCTGCTGAGTTTAGGACTTAAACTGTGCAGTCAGCCTTGTGGGATCCAGCACCTTAGCCATCATGCTACCTGGGGCTGGCAGGTGGCATGGTAGTTGAGGGTGCTGGAGTCCCACATGGCCTACCGCTGTTCGAGTCCCGACCCTGATGGCTTGCTTTCTCACTTTCCCTCTCTCTCACTCTGTCCCTCTCTGGTCAGATTAAAAACAAATAAATAAAGTAAAATAAAATAATTCTAAAAAAAAAAAACAAAAAACAAAAAAAACATCATGCCATTTGCTGGCCCAGTCTCTTAATTAAAAAAAAGAAAACTAGAATGAATATAAGAATCTGGTAAATAACTGGCTATCAGATAAATATATTAAATAAAATCTTGCTCTAATTTGGAAAACAAAAAACCCACATAGAAATGGAAATTTTAAAAAAGGATTATTTTATTAAATTTTATTTATTATTATTATTTTAAAATTTGCTATTGGGCATATGCACTTACCAGAGAGACAGAGAGAGGGAAAGTAAGAAAGTAGGCTGTCAGGTCCAGGACTCAAACTGCATTCGGCCATATGGGACTTTAGTGCCTTAACCACCATGCCACCTGCTGGCCCCAAGAAATGTAAATTAAAAAAAAAATCATTCATATTAAAGACTAAAACCATAAAATACTTAGGAGTAAATTTAATATGGAAGACATAGCTCCAACATGAAGAAAACTAGGAAATACTGAAGAATATAAACAAATAAATTTGAGTCATGTCTCATACCATTTATATTATCTATTGCTGCAGAACAAGTTACCTTAAAACTTACAGTATCATCTCACAAAGTATTCGTAGGTCAAAACTCTAGGATCATTCTGGCTCAGTCTTTCATGAACTTGCAATCAATGTTGTGGTGACCAAGGTCAGTGTCATCTGCATGCTTGACCAGGGCTGGAGGATCTGGCTCACTCAGATGGCTTATGGCTGGAAGCCTCAGTTCCTCACCACAGGCTGCTTATGTGTGCTCATAGCACAGCCGCTTGCTTCTTGTAGAGTGAGTGACTCAAGACAGAGAACAAAGCAGGAGTGAGGATGATTCATAACTAAACTTAGAAATCACAAACTTTTATTTCCAGAATAACTCTACTCAATGAGAGAGAAGATTATACAAACACTAACAGAGATCACTGTGGCCAGTTTCGAGGCTGGCTGCTACAATACTCTAGTTGCACAGGAAGCTGGTAAATGCCGCACATATTATTTTTAGCTTCTTTTTTTATTCTTTTTTTTAAAAAGAATTATTTGATTTAACTTTATTTATTATTATTATCATTGTTATTTTCCACTTTGATCAGAGAGAGACAGAGAGAGAGTGAGGAAGTGAGAAAGCAAGCCACCAGGTCTGAGACTTGAACCATGGTTGGCCATGTGGGAGTCCAGCGCCTTTAACCACCACGCCACTTGCCAGCCCCCTAATTTTAGCTTCCTATAGGAGACAGGCTCTGACTTGTACAGAGCTCAGAAAGTTTCGGATTTGGGAGCATTTGGATTTTGGATTTTTGAATTAGGGAGGTTCAACCTATAATGTTTTGATTGTTTTTCATCAACCCCCTTTTTTAAAAAAAAATTATTTATTTAATTTTATTTATTCATTCATTTATTTTAATTTGACCAGAGAGAGAGAAAGTGGGAAAGCAAGCCACCAGGTCCATGAATAGCCTTGTGGGAGTGTCCAGCGCCTTAACCATTAAGCCACCTGCTGGTCCCAGTTGTTTTTCAGTAAGTAAGTTATATGATGAAAACTATGAAATTGTATGAAAGTTGTATTATTTTGGGCTGTAGAATAACAAATATGTATGTAAATATTAGATACAATTATAGTTTATTTCATGCCCTGTTTTTGGCCAGTTTTAACTGCAATTTCAAGTTATTTATGATATTATCTCTGACTTTTCTCTTCTCTGCCCCAATTAACACCACATTACATCGCTTGGGAATTGACTATGTAGTCTCTGGGTCTGCTAATAAAATCTCTGGGTGTTCTGAGTCTCTTACATGCAATTAGAAGGTTTCAACCCATCATAAGTTAAGTTCACCCGTAATCTTGTAGGTGACTTTTTTTTTGGAGAGGTTTTTGCTATAGGGCATGTGCACTCGCCAGAGAGAAAGAGAGAGACAGAAAGTGAGAAATCACCTCCTGGAGGGATGGCTATGCTGCAATCCCTTCTCCTCCATTTTCCTCTTGGGATCCCTGGCACGCACGCACACGTGCCTGGCGTGAGTTTAAGCCACCAGGTCTGAGACTCGAACCGCAGTCGACTACATGGGAGTCCAACGACATAGCCATTACACTAACTGCTGGTCCCCCAACGTTTTATTTTCTATTAATTGAAAACAGATTTTTCCCTAAAGCCTGCCTTAGAAAATCCGGTCAATTAAAAAAATGTCTATCCAGTTGAATCCTATTGACTTTGGACCCAATCAGAGGAAGATGAATTTTCAAATAGGGATTTGTGAAATTTAAAATTGTGGTGAATAAATCTGACATTTTGAGTGATCAAATTAGTCATGGTGATAATAACTTATATTAGAGAGCTATTAGAGTTTTAGAGCTGGAAAGAATTTTAGAAATCATGTCGTTCTCATGATTTTCCCTTTTGATTTTAAATTGTAAAACTAATAGATTTCGTTTTTATAACCAAAAAAGAAGCCTTGGATCCCTCCCATTCGAGTCCAGCATGGCAGACTATTGTGTTACTGCTGTGCCACTGGCTGGCCTCTAATTGAATGTTTTAATGATTTTAGAAATCAGAAATGTGGGAGCCAACTGGTGGCATGGTGGTTAAGGGCTCTGGACTCCCACATGGCTGACCATGGTTCAAGTTTCAGACCTGGTGGCTTGCTTTCTCACTTTTCCTCTCTGTCACTCTAGCCCTCTCTGATCAAATTAAAATAAATAAAATAAAAATAAAGTTAAATAAAATAATTCTTAAAAAAAAAAAGAAATCAGAAATATGTCTTGTAGGCCCAGCCACAGTGGCACGGACAGCAGGGTGCTGCGGTGTGAGACTGGGGCCTCCTGGGAAGACTGGGGTCTCAGATGAGCTTGAAGGGCTGGGTGCAGCAGTGAGTGCCTGTGATCAGAACTAACTGGGAGACTGGGGTGAAGAAAAAGAAAAAGAAAAAGACATTTTTACTGTAAATAATTTGGGAATATGATCCAGTCTCATGATCTGGTGGTTAATGGAGCCGCATCCTATGTGTTCAACCGAGTGGTTTGAATCCCAGTCCTGGCAGCTTGAAAAACATGTCAGGCGGGACCAGCAGTTGGTGTAATGGCTATGTCGCTGGACTCCCACGTAGTTGACCGCGATTCGTGGCTTAAACTCACGCTGGGCGCCTGTGTGCGCGTGCCCGAGATCCCGAGAGGAGAACTGAGGAGAAGGGATTGCGGTGTGGCCATCCCCCCTGGGGGGGTGATTTCTCGCTTTCTGTCTCTCAGTCTCTGTCTGTCTGGTGAGTGCATGCGCC